CTTACGGTATGAAGTAGCAGAGCAGAAGGCACACCTGCTGTGGGAGGCCTGTCTTCTATGGGAAAGGGGAGAGGAAGAAGGTGGGCTGCACAGGCCAAACTTACACATCAGGAAACTTGCTAGTAGCACTGGAATAGAGTATTGAGAGTTATGATAGTGGCACCCACTCCATACTTCAAGAAACATCTGATGTGGGAAAGAAGTGTTTTCCCTTAAAATAAAGAAATAGAATAGAATTATAAGAAATAGGCTCTCTTATTTAAGAAATATTTGTTGAGTGCAAATTTCTGAGCTAGATTTGCTGGGAGATTCATAAGTGCATCAGAGCTAGATGCTGCCTAACGACCAACCACTAAAATTTGTACTGTATATGGATATGTCACATATTGTAGGTTTTTGCTGCAGCAGTGCCCTACTTCCAGTACCAATTTTTGTATTAGTGTAGATTAGGCTTTGTTTGCTAGCAAACCACCCCAAATATCTCAGTGGTTTAGAACAGCAGAGATGTGTTTCTCATTCATACAACTGTGTATGTTAGCTGAGGGCTCTTTTCCACTTTGTCCTGACTTTAGGACCCTCACTGACAGAAACAGCCACCATTTGAAAGATTGTTGGGGTGACAAATTAAAGAAGGCCACAAATTCTTTGTCACTCTTCTCCTCAATCTCCATCAAGACGTAGAGTTTATTTCTCCACCCTTTGCAACTGAGCTGGCCCTGTGAATGCTTTAACCAACAGAATGTGTTATTTCTAGGCCTAAGACTTACAAGACCTAGAAGCTTTTGCACTTCTGAGAGTCTTGAGCCACCATGTCAGAAATCAGGCTACTCTGCTGGAGAAGCCATGTGAGGCGAGGCCCTGGGATAACAATGGGAAGAAGAAAGGCTTGGCCATTCTAGCATCTCCAGCCCCAGAAAATACCTGGTTGGAACCACATGAGATCCCAAGAAAGATTAGACAACTGTCCATGAGCCCATTCAATTCACAAAACCATTAGCAATAGTAAAAACAATTACTATTTTACGTCATTAAGATTGAGGTGGTTTGCTATGCAGCAATAGATAAAACATTCCCTCACTGCGCGAAAGGGAAAGAGGGCATGAGAAACTGTGCATTCTTAAAGCTTTTAGTAGGAAGTGACACAGACCACTTCCAATCACATTTCACTGGCCACACTGAGTTCAAAAGGCTAGAGAACTGCAATTCTACTGTGTGTGGAAAAGAAATGGAAATATTTGGTGGCTAGTACTATTATCTCCCAGAGAAAGGTCAGGGCTGGAGACCTGATGGCTTACTGATCTCTCTCCATAGAGAAGACAAGTAAATCACTAAGTAGATAAAATGTCAAGAAAAAAAGAGTAACAAGAGAAGAAAAGAACATAGATAACGACAGATGCTTGTAGATGACCTCTAGGTAAGGTAGGGATGGATATAAGGAAGAAAAGGAAGGTAGAAGACTCAGAAAAGAAACATCTCCAAAGGCAAAAGGAGACATCTAGGGATCCAAAGGAGAGTTTCAAGAACAGAACAGTCAAGAACATAAAATAAAATGGATGGTATAGGCAAGGAATTTGTAAAAATTCAAAGAGATCAATGTGAGCTGATACAGTCACAGGCCCAGAACAGAGTTAGAATTAGAGAAGGAAATGAAAGATAATAGAATTTGGATGGTTGGAAAGGAGAAAGAAGGGCACTCTCAGTGAGGAAATAAAGTCTTGAAGTGGGGAATAAATTTAGCAATTGGGAGAACAGGGACTAGGTATTATAAAGGGAAACACATCAATGTAATAAAAGTTATGTGTAAAGTAGATTACGTTTGCTGCAGGGAAAGCCATTTGTGGATTTATGGAGACCTTTGACTGCCAGCTGAGATTTCTGAGTTATTTCATTTTAAATAGCTGAGCACCACGGAGATAAGGTGCCTGAGTAAAGGAAATCAGTATACAGGACTAGTCCCTTCATGTGGAATGAAGAAGGGAAAGAGAGAGCAAGCCATCAGTCAGAAAATTACAGTATTCAAAGCAGGAGTATCCTACTGGGAGAGTTACCTGGTGGGGGGCAGGGGGGCACGGGGAGAACTCCCTTCTAGGCCAGTTCAGGAGGCTTAGAATAAGTTGCTAACAGAACTGAAAAGAAAAGGGGGGGGAGGGTTTCAAGTGTGGAGGAGTTGAGATATTTATCAAGGATATAAAAGAGGGGTGCCTGGGTGGCTCAGTTGGTTAAGCAGCTGCCTTCAGCTCAGGTCACGATCCCAGAGTCCTGGGATCGAGCCCCGTGTCGGGCTCCCTGCTCAGCGAGAGCCTGCTTCTCCCTCTGCCTGCCACTCTGCCTACTTGTGCCCTCTCTCTCTCTTTCAAATAAATAAATAAATCTTTAAAAAAAAAGAAAAAGGATATAAAAGAAAATGTTTAACTTTTTACTTCCATGGCAGACGAGGCTGGTTACCTACCCAACATTCCCCACCCTACTTTCTTGACAATACTGCTCAATTCCTCTCTTCCCTCCAAACCAATCAAGGAAAAGAAATCTACACATATATAATTGAGCTCCAAGGTAAATCCTGATAGGTTTAAGCCAACTGGTTTAACCACTCAACTAGCATCATCTTTCTAGGGAGTGTGTGGGGTGGGAAGAGGGTTGGTTTTTTTGGTGCCCCAATGCCAGAGGTGTGCTACTGACATTTAGTGGGAAGAGACCAGAGATGCTAAAATGCATGTCACAATCTTGCACAAAAACTGCCAAAAGCTAGATAAACTCTTACCAATCATGGTAGTCCCAAGCTCCTTGTCAGTTACTGTTTCAGGGAATAGTGACTCACTGGTCAGTAACATATAAGGAGTGGCCTGCTATGAAACCTCTGGGGTGGTTTCTTCCTGCTGCTGATGTTATCCCAACTGTATGACACCTGGTACCGCTACAAGCAGCCAATTTCTCCCAAAAACCAATTTCTTCCCAATCATCCTGTTTCCATCATTGCCATTTCCTGTTACCAAGTCTAAAGCAGTTTTGGCTTCTAACCATTAACCTCAGGATGACTACTCACTCAGATTTGCCTAGGACAATCTAATTTTAATCCTGTTCTCCCAGTATATAGTGCCCCCTTTCAGTTCTAGGAGTATTCTAGATTGGAGGCTAGATTATATGGTCACTTACTTTTGCCAACTAAATGCTGTTCACTCTGCCTCAAGAAAGTACCTTTAAAGCAAGGGTGAGCAAACTATGACTCTTTTTATATCCCTGGAGATTAAAACAAAAAAAATGGGTTTTTACATGTTTAAATGGTTGAAAAAAATCAGTATTTCATGATACCTAAAATTTCAGTGTCCATAAATAAGTTTTATTGGAATACAATCATGCTCATTCCTTTAAGTATCTTCTATGGTTGCTTTCTTATTATAAGACAGATGACTAATTATGAAAGACAGTGCCTAAAATATTAACGTTTGGCCCTTTATAGAAAAGCTTGCAGACCCCTGCTCTAATGCCACTTAGTTCTAAGTTTCCTCATTTCTTGCACAAATACCGTAGCCTACTAACTTGTTTTCCATTCTTTTCTCACTCCCATCCTTAATATCCCTGGTAGATAATCTCTCTAGAAAAGTTTTGATCCTGTCATTTGCCGCTGTAAAATCTTCAATGGCTCCTCCAAAACGGGGAGTATTAAGTCCAAGCCTATCCGTTGACTAAAGACTACCAACCTAGTTTTCCAGGCTTTGGTCCTCCTGACTACTTAAAGCTTAAAAGGACCACTTGCCGTTTCCCTAATAAGTACTTTAGTCCATATCACACGGTCCCATTGCTTGCCCATGTCTCTCCTCCATCGCACCGGTTCCTCGAGATTAAACCGAAACCGTTACTCCCTTAATACACCTTCATTCACTCATCACACCAGTAGTTCACAACAGGGTTGTTCTTGAGGTGGGTGTGAGGGAACTCACTGACAACAAAGAAAACAGACTAGGGCCGGAAGGAGCAAGTCAAACGAGTTGAGTGCTTTAAGTGAAGGGCCCAGAATGAGGCTTCAGAGGTGACATTAACGCCAGATTTTTTAAGGACCTGGGAGTCTAAAAAAGACTAAGACCCAAGAAGATAAAAGGAAGCTGTAAATAAAGCTGAATGAGAGAACAGAAGGACCACTTCATTCTATCAACTTCCCTACCGCCACAGACTATGATTTAAGGAAAACACCTTTAGTCTAAAACCTGAAAAGAATTCTACAAGAGCAGCCGTGACCAAAACCACCCAGGAAGCGGCTGATCGATGCCAGCGCAGACAGCAAGTAGATGCCAAACAACCCCGGCGAGCGCTCCGTGCACTCATTCTGTGCCAGAAAGACTCCAGCCGGTCGCCAAAACTTTTGGGCGGTAGCTTTGTCGGCGCGCCCACGCTCCAGGCTTCCGGACAAGCGCAACGGCGCCCGGGTGAAAAAGAGACGCCCCTCAATAGTTTGCGCCAACAATTAAAACTGTGTCGTGGCCTCCCACAAGCCACCAACCTGCGCCCTCGAAAATGCGACCCAACCAGACCCCGCCTCCGAGGCGTCCTCGGCGCACGTGAAGTCCCCGTGCTGAGCGACAGCGAAGAGGCGGGTGTTCGCGGACGCGAACCCTGGCCTGGGAAGGGTAGCGATTCCGGAGCGCACGCGCATAGCAAGGGACCGGGCGGAGCCTGCCTCCCAGAAGGGTTGCAAAGGAAAGGAGAGCGCGTGGCGCTCCGGAACCCGCGCACGCGCTGTAGTCTCACCCGGCCTTTGCGCGCGCGCGGCCGGCGCTGCATCTCTTCTTCAGGCCCGCCCCTCTCTTCTACTTCAGCAAGCCGAGGCGAGGAGCGAAAGCAGGGAAGTGTGGGGCGGGGTGGGCGGGGCGTCGCACGCGAGCGCGGCCTGCTAAAGAAGGGAGGGGGAGGGAGAGATCCAAGACATCGTTACCCCGTCAACACCCAATGGAGAGCAGGCTTGACCCCGCCCCCTCCCCTCATGTTATTGGCTGGGAGGCCCCCAGATGGGCGGGGTTGGCCGTGGGGTTGGGGAGGGCAGGGGGCGGAGAGGAGGAGGAAGGCGCTGGCGGGCAGTGATGGCGGCGGGTGATGGGGACGTGAAGCTAGGCACCCTGGGGAGTGGCAGTGAGAGCAGCAGCGACGGCAGCAGCGAGAGCCCCAGCGGCGCGGGAGCGGCAACAGAAGGGGGCGGCTGGGCGGCAGCAGCGTTGGCGCTTTTGACGGGGGGCGGGGAGATGCTGCTGAACGTGGCGCTGGTGGCGCTGGTGCTGCTGGGGGCCTACCGGCTGTGGGTGCGCTGGGGGCGGCGGGGTCTGGGCGCCGGGGCCGGAGCGGGCGAGGAGAGTCCCGCTGCCTCTCTGCCTCGCATGAAGAAGCGGGACTTCAGCTTGGAGCAGCTGCGCCAGTACGACGGGTCCCGCACCCCGCGCATCCTGCTCGCGGTCAATGGGAAAGTCTTCGACGTGACCAAAGGCAGCAAGTTCTACGGCCCGGGTGAGGAGGAGTTGGAAGGGGCGGGGGAGGACCTCCTGCAGCTCAGGTGCGACCCCCTTCTGATGGGGAGGCCCCTGGGCACTGGGTTAGTTTCCGAGCCTTCTCGACGTCTGGACCCCTGCGCCTTGGCTGCTGCACCTGGGACGGCCCGCCCTACACACATCCCCAGCCGCGGGCACCTCCACCTTTTTCCCCCCGAAGTCCGGGTTTCAGTGTCGCCCCAGGAACCAGCTCTCAGCTTTCATCTTTCTACCATCCCGTTCCTCCACGAAGCTTTTTCTTGTGCAGAATTTTTCAAAATCCTTTCAGTTGTCGCCCGTCGCGTTGGCCCACAACCTTCCCTGAGCTTTCTGATTCCTGGGATGGGTGGGGGCAGGAGGGACGGGAGATATCTAAAGTAGGGACCCAAAGTTGTAGGCCAGGTAATTCACAGCTTTCCCTTCTTTACTCTATTTTGCCACTGATCTCCCTTTTCTCTCTACTATTCCTCATAAGGCCACGTTTAGGTACACGTAGTTCCAAGTCCCCACCGTTTAGCTTGTGAAGTCTGGGCATATAAGCAACACCTCAGACTCTTTTTTTAAACCAGTTTTAGTATGGAGATGCTTTCTAAGATTAACAATGTATGTAGGATGAGGACAGACCAGAATGTAGATCTTAATAAAGACTGGCAAGGATGGTCTCCCTGAGTTTTGGGGGTGGAGCTCAACTACCCAGCAGGCGGGCCTGTCTGGTTTCTTTCTTTTCCCTTTTTTTTTTTTTTTTGATAGTAGGAAGGCAAGTATTCAAATACACGTTGATAATGACTTACTGTGTTTTCACTGAGCAGAAAAAACTTAAAAGAGCTATAAATCCACACCCCAGTGCACCAGTTCTGCAAGTTAAAGATTTTTAGAACTTTGCTTTCAGAGAACCGTGTGTGTAGGGTAGTTGGGTTAGAAACCCTTCCTTTACAATGTAGTTTTAGCATACATTTTAGATTATGCTAATAAACTTCAGTTCAGACTCATGGAACCTGCTGGTATACAATAAAATTGAGTAACGTTGTACATCTTGATTATGTAGTAATTAATTCTAAGCTTAAAAAAAGTGACTACAATAAAAAATAAATAATAAAATTAGGGACCTAGAGTGACCTGGTGTTCGAAAGAGTACATCCAAGCCTTAAAGTCAAGGGGGTTGGCAAGTCTAGAAAAATTGGTTTTCTTCTTGATTTAATCTGTTAGTACATGAGATTTATTGGCACTTGCAAATATGTATCTCTGATTTCAGTGCTTGGTGGTTGGGATATATTTTAGAAGTGCTTTGGTTTGCTCTTAAGTGGAATAGAGATAAGTAATTGGAGATTTTATGTGTTGAACTATTTCTTAGTTGCTTGTATTTTTGTGTGTAGATCTATATTCAGTTTAAGCAAGTCTTAGATAGTGCTTCTGGTTGTACAAATATGAAAAGCAGATGTCTACCTACTTAACTCCGCTGAAACAGTTAATACTTTTTTTGTTTAAAGTATATGGGACAAGAGAATAGGGAGTAGGGCCAAAGTACAGTAATTAAATGGACAGACCAAATTAAATAGTTAATTTTTTTAAATCAAGGATTTACACAGTATTTTGTACCTGAAGTTTCTTCCTCATTGATATTAAAATGTATGTGCAGAAATTAAAAATTGTGTACAGGTTTAGATTTTTAATATAGCACTTACCCAACTAAAAGATCTGCCTTTGTAGCCCCTATCTAAACTGACAATGAAACAAACAAAAGTATTAGTGCAAAGAAGCATATTAGTCCTCACACATTATGCCTTGCCACTATCTGAGAATAGCTAGGAAAGGCTGTTGTAGACACAGTTTAGCAGCCTCCAGTGGCAAATGTTCTGCAACAGAAATTAAAAATTAAGATGAGAGTCATAGATGTGATGTAGATAGCCTTCATGTGGCTTGGGCATTGAGGAGGCTTCTCAGATAACAAGGGAGAAGTCAGTTTTATTTATTTTTCTTTTTTTTGGGAGAAGTCAGTTTTAGGTTGGCTTCCACCAATTCCCAGGTCCTGATGAACAGCCTAGGGGTAATTAGTTATTTTCTAAGTATTTATTGATCAACCTAGTACAGATGTTTGGAATGTTATATTATGGAAAGGAACTTGAAAGTGGCCAGATCATCTGTGGGCTTGGAATATGTTGATATTTCACATTAATAGGAGATGTAACACTTTTTCCAGAAGTCTTGAAGCCAAATTTCTGACTATGAAACAGATACAAGTTCAGTTTGGGTTTTAATTTTTATCTTCATCCTCAAGTCAGTTGAGCACTTTGTAACAGAATAATTCAGAAGCAATGATCTTAGCCTGACAATCTTAGTAGCTTGAAAGAATGAGGTAAGAAGCCAGAAAACCTCGTTTCTATGCCTAGCCAATATCTACTCCCATTTCACAGTATTGGTCTTGGAATTAAAAATTTTTTTGTGAGGTTTTTTTCCTATGTCGAAGATACTGTTTTCTTAGTCACTTTTAAAGTTCAGGTTCTTAAAAAATTAAATATTGACTATTTAGTGGAGTAAACACATGTTGGCAAACAGTTGGCATTAACTACATTTGTCATCATTAAATTTAGTAACACTTCAGGCACTTGGCCAGCATGTGAGGAAAGTGGTCATATAAGAAAAAATGAATATGGGAGGAGAAAGGAAATAAGATTTGTTAAGCACCTACTACATCAGATCCATTAATTTGTCATCTCCACAATGCCTCAGTGAGGTTAGTAAGTATTCCTGTCCTCAGATGGGAAGTCTGAAGTGTAGGTATTTTGGGTAAATTGGCTTGGGTCATGCAGACATGGTGTTCAAATCCAGATATATTTAACCACAAAGCCTATCTATACTTCAGGTAAACTATGTTCTGGGATAAACTTCTGGAGAATCTTACTGTTGTTTTTATACCCTCTTCTGGTTCCCATAAGGATTTAAAGCCTCAGACATGCTTTCATGGCTGTATGTTGTGCTGTCTAGTATGGTAGCCATAAACCGCATGTGGCTTTTTAATTTTAAGTTAATTAAAATTAAATATAGTTAAAATTGAGTCCCTCCATCACACTAGCCACATTTCCACTGCTCAGTAGCTACATGGCTACCATGTTAGTGCACTTTATGGAGTATTTCCATCTTCCCAAAGAGTTCTATTCAACAGCGTTGATTCTATAGGTAAGGCAGAAGGAGGAGGAAACTCCGTTTATTGAGCTTATTATCTCATTTCATTTTCAAACAGCCCTTGGAGGTAAGTAATGTTCCCATTTTTGTGGAAATGTGGAAACTGAAACTCAGGGAGGTTTTGCTCAAAATCACATACTCAGTGGCAAAACTAGAAATCAAACACAGTCTAACTGGCTTTACAGGCCATCCCTTCCCATTGTAGCACTACAAAATATAATTTCATATGTTTCTAGAGTCATAACAGAGTAGGAAGACTGGAACAGATAGTAGAATTTTAAGTAACTTGATTTAATATTACTACAATGAAATTCTACCAAAATAGTGTTTTTATTTATTCTTTAGAATGGCAAGAAATTATACAGTTGACCTTTCTAATAGTTTATCCTGCATTTCTGAAATTTAAATCTGTTGCTTCCCCTTTATTCCATGTAGTATATTCTTTGACACAGACCGAAGCGGTATTTTCTCCAACTTACCTTTTGAATTCTACTGGAAAAGAAAAAGTCATATATAAAAGAGGTACCCCATGAGATGCCTAATATCTAGGAGGATGGGGAAAGGAGCACATATACCTTTCAAGTGTTTTTCCTCCTTTTTATAATTTTATCTTCGCGATGTTAACTTTTATTTATAGTTTGCAAAATTGCAGTTGAAGCAAGAGTTGCAACATATAGACTAGACCCAACCTGACCTCTTCCTTCATGGATATCCTATTGACACTACTCAGCTACTTGCTTCAAGGCCAGCTGGGTCTGTTTGGGCTGATGGCCATACACACCCATTACCTTTCAGTAAAATAAAAGGATCAGCTGAGTTTTCTTATGAGTTTTGATACTCTGCTCAAATTTATACTAGTTATTTCTATAATACTCTGAATTCAGCTCATTGAATTGTTTTTAATCTTTGAGGGAATTGTATTTGTGTTAAATGCTAATGCTAAGTATTAAAGGATAGCTGAAAGCATATATGAAACCAGACTATGTTATGTATGCTGGAAGAAAATAGATGTAGTGACATCTGGAGTTAGCTATTCAAATTCTTTTAAGAATCTATGACCAAGATCTCTCCTCCCCTCTGTACCCATGTTAGACATGACTAAATAACCGCTGTACCCTTAGAACCTGCATCCTGTCTGAAGATCACTAATATAGGACTTCATCTCCATTTTAAATACTGAGAAGGAGTTCCCTGGATTTCATTACACTGTTGCTTAAATAAGATGTTGTGAAAAATGAGTTAACTGAGTTTTCAAAACAGATGGGTTCCTACCTTTGTAGAGTTTATAGTATATTTGGGAAAACAGATAAGTAAGCATTCAGCATATAATTATAATTTGTAATTAAATATTCAATGAAAGACAAAAATAGGATATGTAATAGAGGGTAACAAAGGACTTTAGAATAGATGGTTAAGAAAAATACTTTATTTATGTTAGTTTATCAAGAAAAGGGGGTTGATATTTAAGCAAAAACCTGAAGGAGTCAGCCATACAAAGATTGGGTGTGAGAATGTTCTGATGCCATCTAGCACTGGATCTAGAACTGATCATATTGTGTTAATCAGCAGAGAAAGAAACATCCTTAACCTTTACTGATTTTGAAATTTGACTTCAGCCTTTGTTTGGTTAGTATTACCTCAGTGATTCTTTTTCCACCCTGTTTTCCACTGATCTGTGGTATGTTTTATTATTCCTTTATAATATAGCTAGATTTTTTTTTAATTGAATCTAGTATCAACACTTTTTTTTTTTAAGATTTTATTTATTTGAGAGAGAGCATGAAGGGGAGGGGTGGTGGG